GACACTCAGATGTTGTGGGCTGCCTCTGCCTTTGAAATGTGGCTTCCCTTCCTATGTCACATCATGAGATTAAACCGCCCCCATCCGACTATTTCTACCCAGAACTTGAGAAAACGACATATTTTTCTTCCAAGCCAATCAGAGCACAGTGAGCTTGAATACAGGTATATTCAGAGGAACAATTTCAGAATTTAGAAAACCAAAATACAATTATGAACCTGTGAATAATCATAATTGTAATAACATGATGATGGTAATAATAATAATAATAATAATAATAATAATAATAATGATAATAATGATCATGAAACAGTAGTTCTGAGACTTGCTCTCTGCTGATACTCTACTTCAATTTTGATGGACTTGTACTTCACTTGCCATAACGTAATTTGCAGATTGTGATTCTTAATATAAAAACTCATAAATGGTTAGCATCTTTGAACACATGGGAATAGCGCTATAAAAATACAATTCATTATTATTGTTTTTATAAATCAACCAAAAAATACATTTTGTGATAAGATCCCAGCAGTATATAAAGTCATTTAGATTAGCCCTACTGCTACTAGCTGCACATTCAAGTGATGTCCACACAGTATAGTGCAGCAGTGATGTAACGAACTACTATACAATCTTGAGTAACTTTTACTTTATATAAGTATTTACATTTTTTGCGATTTGTACTTCTACCCCACTGAAATTCAGAGGTAGGCTACATGGTGTACTTTTACTCCACTACATGTATATAATACCTTTAGTTACTTCACAGATTTGGATTAACGATGTGAAATATAATCAACACTTAAATCAGCCTGGAGTAAATTCACAAGCTACCCTGCAGTATACGAGTATTCCTGCTCTCCGCTACTTCTACTTTTACTAAAGGAGACACTTATTCCACCTCCGCTATACAAGAGGGACAACAAATGCTCTAGAATAAAGTGAAATGCTTTAGAAATATTTGTATTTTGTTGTTTTTCCTGTAATTCCTGTTTATCCAGGATGAAGTGCTTACTGTAGGCCACTTTGATAATCCAGTGTGCGTTCATCTGGTTGCCTCATACATAATGCCATACTTGTGCTTGTTAAGGGGATCTTACACCAGCGGATATCCAGCCCAAAGCAGAGGACAAAGTTCGGAACAGCACGCGGCGCCCGGCCCCAAAGCCCCCCGCCGCTAATGGAGCCAACAGCAGGGCCAACCCTCAGGCTGCGGCCCCCCCCACAGACAGGTCTGCTCGCCTGCGCGATAGACAGGCGTCATGGGCCCCGCACACACAGGCCCCCAGCACACAGAGGAGTCAGAGGAGAGGAGGAAGAGGAGCGCCGGCCATGAGAGAGAGGAGCCAGGGGGACGGGAGAGGGAAGGATGGAGGGACAGCAGAGAAGGGAGAAAAGAAAGGAGGAAGACTGTGTGAGGAGTCCAAGGGGAAGGACAAAGAGAGGAATGGACATCAGAGGCCCAGAGAAGCAAATGGTCTGAAAAGCCGGGGGGCTGATGGGAGAGGAAAGGTGGGAGCTAAAGGGGCTAACAGAGGAGTGGGGGCCAAGCCAAATAATATACTGTCCACCCAGGAAGTGTATGCAGCCATGGTAGTCCCTCGCACTCCTGTAGCACCAAGAAACCAGGAAAAGACCCAAGACCAAGGTATTGAACCCGTTCTCTAGCACGATGGGGGGGATGTAACTTTTAGAAAGAAAGAAAGGTAGACTGAATTACAGTAGGGGGGGGGTCTGTAATTTGTTTCCTTGCCTTGTATTTATTTTCAGTACCTTTTAAGATTGATTATTTGGAAAGGTGGGATCAAAAAAGTGTTATCAACAGATAACCACTGTGTGTTCTTCAGGTGTGATTGCTAAATGCATATGACAGCAGTTCTCCTGTTTTATGGCTTTATTTGACCTAACAGTGAAACATGTAGCCCATAGCAGCAGCATGTCAGTTTTCAGGATCATTTTATTAGTAATTCCATATAATGAGAACAGTTAAGTACAGTCAAGTCAAAATGTTCCAGTGAATCAAGATTACACCCACCACACACCCCTTTGGCAAAACTCATGTATTTGCATCCTTAATACAATCTAGGTAAACACTGGAAAAACGACCAGTGTTCAGAGTAAATATGAATTATAATTAAAAACATTATTCTCCATTGGTGTTGAAATGTATTGCCAGCTACAAGGAAAGAAAACATTTCACAGTCCTTTGTAGAAGTCTTCTGAAATAAAAGGTCCATATGTGTAGCCTTAAGAAAAGAAAGAGGACATAGAAATAGAAAGAGGACGTGTTTTTGTGGTCTACAGTGAATACTTTTGTTAAAGTAATTCCAAGACAAGACAGCTCCCCTAAAGGGAAGGTGACAGAATAGTTAAGGGGTTAATAGCTTAAAGGTGGGGTAGGTCATTTTGGAGAAACCAGCTCGAGTGCGCTAGAATTAGAAAATACACAACCCGGAAGAAATCTGCCACTTCCTTACGGAGTCCCTCCTCCAACACACACGAACGCGCACATAACCAATGAGGGCACGAGATAAGTTTGTGCACAGATCGAAGGCTGACAGGCAGGTAGGCCATCCAGTTATTTTAGCCGGGCCGGCTCAGATGATTGGTCATGCTTTTTACAGCGCCATGGCTTCCGCTGATGACATTATTTTATGTATTTATTGTCAAAGCATTTAAGATATTCATTGCTATCGGGATGTTAAGAGCATTCCATGGAATATAACAAAAAGTGTTTCTGAAGTGAATTACATCTTTAATAGTGGAGGAGTTTCAGAATTGTGTGCTAATGAAAGGGTCAGGGGGCCACCTAGATCGCTCTTGGTACTACTACATGTCGAGTAAATAGAAATGTATATGACTTGAAGGTCATTAGATTCAGTCTTCTGAAAACTCACAGTTCCTCCTGATGTTTTAAATCAAATTACCCACAGAACAAGCTAAAAACTCAACATTTAAATATTGACCAAAAATGTTATGAGTCAGATTTAAAAACATGCCTATTTACCAAGGCCGGATTAATACCTCCAGGGGCCCCCGGGCACTTAGAGCTCATGGCCCCCCCAACCCTGCCCAAAACAAAAATGCGAGCACACGTAACACCACGTAATAAGTTTGCTCATATGGTAAATCCGGCCAAGCTATTTACACCTCCAGCTGACACAGAACCATGGCACAAGTCCAATATAATCCTCCTTTCATCTTCAGACTCTTCAACAGCGTGTCTCAAACCCTGTGTTTTTTAGCAACCTTCTACTGAAAACGAGTTTGATTGTTAGCATGAAAACTAAAACAATGCTCTAAAACTGAGTAAACTGAGCACCTCTGTATGAACACTATCACTCATGAGCAGGTGAGCTATATCTGTGCCAGAACTGTTAAGTTATTTGAGCATTAAAAGGTTTAAGAATAACTGTATGTTTTGGTAAGTATACACCTGAGAAGATGAAACTCGGATTTTACTGAGTTGTATGGAAGTTTTAGTGTCCTTCAAGATTCAAGTTACCTTGCTTCGAGTATTTGATATACAAATGGTAATTTTATGGGTGGAGTATTCCTTTTGAGGTAAGAAAACATAAGTGAAGTGGTTCACCAATAACTTTGCCCACATATTTTGTGTTCTTAGGCCAAAACCATGACAGGACCCAAGACAACCCCCCTATCCTCTCCAGATCCAGCAGTGAGGGGGGCTCAAACAGAATGTCCCTTAGCTCAGACACAGAAGGCCCCCCACCAGGGCCCCTGCATCCTTCTCTATCTAATCGAACCAACCCTGTCATCAGCGAAGAAGATGGGGAGGGAGTTTCAACTGCCTGTGCGAACGTCCAGAATGGTGTAATCCACTGTGACGAAAACATTGAGATGGACTGTACCAAGTCAGAGGTGGACGCACAGGGAGGAAAAGATGACAATAACACTGAGGTCCCTCAGGGAGATGGTGTGGCTGCTCAGACTGTACCAAAGAGTGAATCTGCAGCAGGGTTAAATTATGACTCTGTCAAATACACTCTGGTGGTAGATGAACATGCTCAGTTGGAGCTGGTCAGCCTCAAGGACTGCTTGCATGGTTACCATGAGCACAAAGACGACAGCGATTCAGAGACGGTCTATCAGTCAGCCAATGAGGAGGAAGACCCAGAGTATGAGGAGGAGAGGAAGAGGATAGAAGAAGCAACAAAGCAAGGTAATGATACAGCTTCATTCTTAACATGGCTGACATCATTTGTGTCACAAAGCAGTATCACTATAAAGTTCATCGGAATGTTTTTCAAATGAGAGGATCCCATCTCTTTGGGAGCATGAATGTAGGCTACTCAGCTAAATTCATGATCAATGTTCCTGTTAGGTTATAAGACATCTTGTGTAACAACACATGTCTGCATTTGACCATATACACACTGGTGGCAGAGGCTACCGTACAAGGTGCCGGCGGCATCCCAGGAGGGATAAACATAAAGAAAAAACACTAAGCGCTTTTTGAGTTAATTTAGACCTTGTAACTGATTCCCCAGCACTTATTATGGTATGCTCTTCACTTGTTCGGAGTTTGAATCTTTATGGTTTTTACACTTATTGTAAGTCACTTTGGACAAAAGCTTCAGCTTCATCTGGCCCAAGGTCACAGACATGTAAACTACAGGGGCCAGGGAACGAACCACCAATATTCCAATTAGTGGACGACCTCAGCCTAAAACCAGGTGCTACGTTGTTATATGTCCTCATGTGGAAGACTTATTTCATGTCCAATATTGATTCAGAGAAACATAACTATTCTCTGGGAATGTTATCTTTGTTGTTAGGATTGAGATTTTTAGGAAGCGTTCTCACTTACTGGACAAACGGCTTATAGTTTGGCAAGGGTTGGCATCAGAGTAAAACTGCGCAATGCCGGTTTGTGATTTTAATATAATTGAAGGACTAATTGTCTCATCGATTAGGCGATCAATACAAAAAAGACCAAAAGGACCTATACTGAGCCCTGTTGAACACTGCTAAATGTGCGGAGGACCACACTTTGTACAAGATGATTTTGTAGGTGTAGCTTCAGGACAGAATATATGAAATCATTTCAACCCCATGTTTTTGCACAGTTCCTTGGTTGTTGTTTCTTGCTGCAAAGAGTGTAACTCTTACTTGTTTTCTGCTCCAAGAGAGGAGGAAAGAGGAAGAAAAGAGAAGAAAGGAGGAAGAAGTCGCCAAGAAGAGGAGGGAAGAGGATTTGAAAAGGCGGAGGGAGGAGGAGGTACAAAGGAGAAGGGAAGTTGTGGCAAGGACCTGCAAGCAGTCCAAGGTAACCTCCACAACAACTTCAGAGGAAGAGGAGTCTAATGGAGAGAGGGCCGTCCCTTCCAGAAGTAAAAAGTTCCTCAACCTGTTTTCCAACAGCAGCACTCAATACAGCGCCACTGGTATGTTTATTGTCCAAGTGTTTTATTTGAACGAAAAATCATTTAGAAGTATATATTCATAAAGTTCCCTTTATTTATCACCTCTATATGTGTGTTTGCCTGTTGATGCGCCTGTTGTATATGCTGCTCATTTGAGGTCCTAAATGTTAGTTTTGTTTGCTTTGCCTTAACTCATTCTTCACAAGTGGTATAATATAAGTATATGTGGAAGCTGCAGTTATAGGAGCAGGAAACATTCTACACATTGTTATAAGAACTATGTTGATTTAAGCGTATCTTTTGTTTACAACAACCTGAACACATGCATGCTGCTTGCCATTTGAATGTTGTTGTTTGTTTATGTTAGGATTTTGTTTGTCACATACACAATCCTAACATGTGTTTTTTTAAGTACTCTTTTTTTAAATTTTAGATATTTTAACACAACACACAGAACAATGTACAACACCCCACCACTGATGGCCACACAGCACATCCACAATTTGACAACAATTGAATGATATTAATAATAATCCTCATCAACATAATCACAATAATACAGATAGACCAGATGAGATAAATAACATATATATATACACATATACATACAGATCAAGCTGGAATATCAATCAAACATATAGAACTACGAGGGATATTATTTTCAGTCTGCAATATGTGAGTCCAGGGTAATCAGTCAACAGAAGCCGAATCATATCATGTGTCTCCCATAGTTGAAGTTATTTGGCCTTCTAAGCAGCCTGTCCTCCTACAAAAAACGACCAAATAGGTCGATTGTTTAAGCACCTTAGATTATGACCCATAGCCACGTTTTAAAGTGTAGCACCTCTAGTGGTCGTGTAAGAAACAACATGCTCCCGTTTATTCACAAATAACCCTCTCTGGAAAATCCTAAATTGTAGGATAGTTTGGCCATTAAAATGCTTTTTGATTATATTTCTAGCGAGAAGTGTATATTGTACTTTTAGAATCCACGTCCAGTGGACGTGTAGGATCTATAGTTTGATAGATATTACGAAGATGATTTGAGGTCTCGACAGGATAACGTGTGCGGCAGCTTCCATGTAAAGTTAGCGAGGGTGAAAACAGTTTTTCCGGTCTCGAAGTTTTCATAATTAAACCGGATATATTCCCCTCACTGTCAAATGATTACACAGTGATATCTGCATTACTCATCCACTAAAAAACATCAGTTTATCCTTGTTAATTACACAATATTGATTGGTTTAAATTGTGTACAATGCTTTTGTGTTTTTAACCTTCGATTCAGAGAAACAAATAGTTTTTTAGGAGTTTAGACACTACAGTTCTGAAGACACTACACTACCCAGAATCCCCAGCTATCGTTTGGGACTACAACATCCGCCTTGCTTTACAAACCCCGTGATTAGTCATCAAGCCCTGTGATTGGATGTTGGAGTGGCAGTGCGACAAGGTGACGCTGAGCGTCAACAGCTCTTTGAAATGGAATGGAACCACGGCAGACTTTCCAAAACTGGAATTGGACAGGTCCAGCCCCCGGCTCCAGGAAAATACAGTTTCAGTCTCTCGATTTGAAGCTTATGCATTGTACCATGAACCTGTATAGACCTGTAACAGTTAACTGAGGAGTTGGAAAGGTAATGAATGAATGAATTACAATGTCGAACTCGGACTTCATTTTAAGGACATTTCGGCCAGGGATTTAGAGCTATATTTGTTTAACCACCGGATTGGCTAAACAGGAGAGTGTGTGCACGAGTCTGCCTTGATCTATGTATTCATGTTTGTGACTCTCACAGTATCTGCTGCCCACAGCTGTTTTATAGAAGGAACACCTCCTTCACTTCATGAAATCTCTGCAGCACCAGGAGGAAGCGGGAGGGTTAACTCAGCCTCTGAGAAGAGGAGCGCGCCGTGCCTTTCACGCACCGCCTTTCACGCACCGCCTTTCACGCACCGCCTTCGCTGTGTGAATACCTTCAGAATCATTAGAAAGGCTAAGAGCGACCGCAGGCTGATGTGTTTTAACCACACACACCTCTACACACACACACACACACACACACACACACACACACACACACACACACACACACACATGATTTAAACGCAGACTTCTGTTCCTCCATGTTTCGTTGTTATTGTTTCACTGAGCGGACCCGCCCCTTTTTTTTTTCAAACGCTCCCTTTTTTGGTCCATCTGCTGCGGTAATAGGTTTTGTGCGCTGTGATGATTCGGCTGTACCTTTAGTAATGAATATTAAATGTTCATTTGATCATTGGTTTTATTATGAAAACGTCGAGACCGGAAATACTGTTTTCAACCCGTAACTTTACATGGAGGCTGCCGCACACCTCAAATCATCTTCGTAATATCTATCAAACTATATATCCTACATATCGACTGGACGTGGATTCTAAAAGTACAATATACACTTCTCGCTAGAAATCTAATCAAAAAGCGTTTTAATGGCCAAACTATCCTACAATTTAGGATTTTACAGAGAGGGTTATTTGTGAATAAATGACCATCTGTAACGTTTGCATTCAACGGGAGCAGGACGTATTAAGCGCTTGAACAAACGACATATTTGGTCGTAATAATTGGGCCTGAACAATCGGCATATTTGGTCGTATGAGTTGGAGGACTTGTTGCTTGTTGCATCACCACCTGCGTTGCCACACCCTGTACCACACCCGCCAGCATCTTCCTCCGTGCCGGTGCCTCAGACGCTACCTTGCAGCAAATCAACAGGTACTATTGGGCCAGCAACCGCTCAAAGACCAACAGCCCCAGATGATCTTGGGGTTAATAAACCCAACAGGTGAAACTGGATCGTTATCCAGGGAGATTGTTTTCATGAAAGAAGCGCACTTTTGCCACTGTTGTACAACAACAGACCATGGCTTGAATATTCGTTTAAAGCAGACACAGCCTTTTGTTTCCCCTGTAGACAGTTTAAAGTAAATACGTCTTCATCTGATGCGGCTTTTACTGTCAAAGGTTTTTGCGACTGGAAACACGCATTACATACTGATAAAGGACTGCTAAGGCATGCCGCATCAAAATAACACATTTCATGTGAGAGTTTGTGGAGAGAGAGATACGCGAGGAAACAAATAAGGAAAGTAGTACTTTGGTGCAGATCAGCTGGCACGGAACCGTTATTACGTGTCAGTTGTCGCTGTCATATTATAGTTTTTTAACTGTCAACCAACTCCCTCTCAGAGGTGAGCAAGATGCACTCCACAGCATGTCCGAGTCAGGCAGTGCATAGGAAAATAAACCATGCTCAAGGCGGGCTAAACAGTTCATCGTCTCCGTCTATTTCTCTCCGAGTGCAACGATGAGGAAGCTGCCATCCGTAACCAGTGTGCCTTGCTCGTGATTTACCAGTGTCTGTGCTGCCACGCACACAATGTTTCAAAGTGGTTTATATGTTGCTCTTTATTTGTGTATGTATTTGCGATAAGTGTGCGTCTTTGCGCGCTGCTGTTGGCCTTGCTGTTTGATATATATTGTACCGCAGGCCCGCAGCATATGACGGTTTTGTGTGCCCTCCCATGAAAATCATATGCCCTCCCTTTAGATTTGTTCTGGCGCCGGGTCTGACCAGACGTAGGATGCATGGCAGGCCCAGTTGTAAATATCAAATTAGGCATAGTGAGGTCGTCCCTATCTGTAGGTTGCTGTCGTATATTAAGCCTTTGTCTGGGTTTTTTGCCATGCAAAATAAATTCAGAAAGTGATTTATTTTGGAAGTCAAGATAAAATGTATTAGTCAAGTAAATAGGGGGCATCTTTAATGGATATAAGTGACGGGGGAGGACACTCATCTTAATGAGACTGATCCGACCCATCAACAGAAACTGATCAGGACATCTGTGTTATTCATGGTCCCTAACGGCATAGATTCAGATTTACTATATCATTTATCTTGTAGCCAGATATGGCACTGAACTCACTAAAGACTGTCATCGTAGTAGAAATCGACAGCTTGGGGCACGACAAAAATAGCAAGATATTGTCCACGTATAAGGCCATTTTATGTTGCACGTTCCCCATCATCACTTCCCTTATATCAGTGTGCATACAAATACTTTCAGCTAATGGTTCCAACGCTAAAGCAAAGAGAAGAGGGCTTAGTGGGCACCCCTGAGGTACGCCCCTAGCCACAGGAAAAGGTTCAGAGCGCCGTCCATTAGTTATGACTACAGCTGAAGGTGAATGATATATGGTTTGGATCCACCAAAGGAAGTCCCCTGCTAAGCCAAACCTCGCCAGGATATCGAACATGTAGCCCCACTCGACTCTATCGAAGGCCTTCTCCGTGTCTAACGAGACAGTCAGTGCCTTCTGTTTCCTCTGATTGGCAAACTGCACAATATTCAAAAAACTTCCGCATATTACTGATAGAATAACGCCCGTGAACAAAGCTGGTCTGGTCAGGTTTAATGAGAGTTGGAAGAAGATTCTCCAGCCTCTTTGCAAGCAGTTTTGAGAGCAATTTGCTGTCAACTTAAACGAGACCTATCATGCTATATTTGAATAATATATTGTAGGGCCATACCTATATAAGGTATATTTATACGTTTTCTTTTTCAAAATATCAAACAGATCATGCATTTTAGCCATGCCTCATTTCGCTCTATTTTCCTCTCCTCCACCCTGTCTTTGCATGTGCTGCAGCTGACCACGCCCCCCTGCAAAGGAGGGGGCCGAGTTACAAGCGTCATGTTACCATGCTGTTACCATGCCATGGCAATCTCTCATTCCCCTGATTGGTGGAGAGTTGGCCATATAGGCGGAGCTCCTCGTCACTGACGTCAGACTATTTTCAAATCTGGATCAGTCTGTATCAGATCCGTTAAAGCCCCGTTTTTAGAGATGTTGGGTATGGAGGAAAAGAGAGAGGGTTGTCTTTTCTGACACTTGGTGAGTTCCCTGACACACAGGGACACATATTCATGTATAAAAGACGTACAAAGGTGCATTTTTAGGTCCCCTTTAAATTAGGCTGATAGTTCTGTAAGAACCACATACATCAGGGGGTTTACCTGGGTAAGACCCCCCTGCTACAGGAGTCCAAATACATATCTGTAAGGGGCGATAGAAGCATCTCACTGAAGATGAAGATTACCCCTCTTTACTAATTGGCTTACAGATTAGTTTATCAAGAAATTTAGATCTGGCCTCAACAGAAGATGTGCAATCTGAACTGTAGAGGTCTTTATAAAATCATCTCATTATTTTATTTATATCAGCTGATTTGAAGTGTCTCAAGCCATTCTTATAAATGAGAGAGGGGATTACATTTGACTCAGTTTTAGCGCAAGCCAGACGTGCTAGCAGTCACCTAGGTTTATTACCGGATTCAAACAACCGATGTCTAGCATAAAAGAGGTGTGTCGAACGGGCTACGTCAAGCTGTTTAGCCAGAGAGATATTGCGGTATCGCTTCAATTGAGTCTGAAGGCTATAAATGATCTTTTCCTAATCTAGCTGTCTCTTAAGAGTATCTCTTTTCTGGGGTGCTGTGTAGGATATACTAGCCCTGTGTAAGTATGTCTTCCCAGCTTCCAATAGCATAGAAGACCTCACATCAGGAGTCTTATTTTCAGTGACAAAATGATGCCAAATGATGCGTTTCTCGCAAATTACTGTTTCCATCAGCTTTGGACATGTTCCTGCAAATAAATTAATCACTTTCTTGTGGTTCAATCGGGAAGAAAATGAAATAATCGGCCCTTGAGGTTGGAGCACGGCAAAAACGTACCTCTAACTCTGAATGCATCACGTGACCGGCCCTAACATATGTTTACTGATAATCTGTTTTGCCTAGCTCCAGAAAGCAATAACAAAAAGAAGAAGAATAGAATAATAAAGATTAGGTGGAATAATACTTTTCTGTGCCAAATAACTAATGATGAAAATATATCACTACAGTATGTTGGAGAAAATGAAACATTCAAACAAATATTTGATGGCCATTTTTGACAATTGAGTTACTCTGTTGAATATGTATACGATTGTAATGTCTTCAAATCCATAAAAAAATGAGGATATCATTAATATGAAAAAGGTGAAGGTGTACTCAGCCTCAGTGGAGGTGTCCTACACATAAAGCTAAAAACGTAGTCACGGTGGCCAAATTGTGCTCTCCATTCCCAAGTAAGCTGTTATGAATGTAACATGGCTGCTGTATCACTCAGGTGCTGGCTCCTTTGGTGTATTCTCCTGTGTTTTGGATGGAGTGGAGAGACAACAGAGCCACAGAGCTGCCTACAGGTCAAAACTTATACTCATATACAAACTAACTGTGACATGTCCAAATCAACACGGAGACTGAATTCTGTATACTCTCTTTCCTTTCTTTAGGTTTGTCCCTCGTCATTCAGATGAGCTGTACCTAGAAACGGATGACCCGGTGCTGCTGCTGAAGCAGTCTGAGGACCTGTGGTGTCAGGGCTACAACATGAGGACCGGGGCTACCGGCATCTTCCCTGCCTTCTACGCCGTCAGGCTGCCCACAGACACTATCCAAGGTCCATTGCAACAGAAATCTAAAATACAAAAACTGAATAGCAGAGAGACAAGTGAGAAAAAAAAAATATATCTAGTGTTCTATTAAAGTCTGATAAAAAATGTTCATATGTGTATGTTGGCACATTAGTGATGGTTCAAATACATTGCCAGCTGATTGTAATACATGTAACAAAACTAGCCAACATAAAATATACCGTATATTCCTTGTGTTTACAGTGTATGGAGAAATTAATACTCAGCTTGAAGAAAACATGAATACTTTGAACCCTTTTGAAAAATGTTAGGTAGTGGTGCACTTCAACCTATTGTGGCCAGAATGAGTATAACACCAGTTTATTTTCAACTGTTTAATCAATATGATTTTCTTTTATCACGTTCCACTCACTGCTTATTTCCTGACACAAACAGCTTGTCATTATTTAAGTTGATGCTATTATTATTATTATTATTGTGTTCCCATAGCTGCGAAGGATAGCTCGATAGAGAAGTTCCTGGTGCGATTCCTGGGTTCGGTGCAGGTCCCCATCCACAAAGGCACCGACATGCTTTCCTCTGCGATGCAGAAGGTACGTACAGGCAGTGAGAACAGAAACACACCATGAAAGCGATATAGTGGTGAATAAATGCAACAACCTCCAGCTGGCGATCATGACATTGTCACGGTTTGTATGCGGACCTAAAAGCAGTACAAACAGGGAGGCTGGTCAGGGGATGTAAATAAAGGTGAGCAGGCAAGGGGGAACAAAAGGGAAAGTAACAAACAAAACAAACCGGGAACACAGGAGGGCAGACCAGAGCAGTGGTTCTCAAACTTTTTTCAATAATGTACCCTCTTTGAAAAAAAAATTCAGCCAAGTACCCCCTGATCAGCGCAAAAAACTATTTGTTAAGGAAAAAAAGCCTATATAAATGTTACGGTGAGTAAAGCAAGCAGGACCCAAATGCAGATAATGCTGAAAAAAGCCTTTATCTCAAGGATAAAATAAAAATAACTTGGACAAAACAGAACTCTCACCGGTGAACTCATTCACAAACAAGACGAACCAACACTGAACACAGGACGAGACAATACTAAATACAGGGAGGGGTAATCACAAGACGAGAAACAGCCAGGCAGGGGAGGAGAAACACAAGGGCCACAGGTGAACACAATCAGACAATTAGACACACCAGGGAAACTAACGACAGGCGGAAAAACACAGGAAGAAGGACCAGACAATATACAAGGAAGAAAACACCCAAAACAAGACATACAAAACGTGACATAACACAATAATCATAACAGGACGGATTCCAGACGTCCCTAAACATTCTTTTTAAAAGTCCAAAACCTCAAGCAGGGTGGGTGGAGGGGGTCTGGAGGACGGGTCTTGGGCTGACAGCCCAGGAGCACAGCGGAGGACCCAGAAGGGATCTCGGGCGGACGGCCTGGGGGCAAGGCAGAAGCCGAGAAGGGGGACTCGGGCGGACGGCCCGGGGGCAAGGCAGAGTCCAAGGTGGGGAACTCGGGCGGACGGACCGGGGGCAAGGCAGAGTCCAAGGTGGGGGTCTCGGGCGGACGGCCCGGGGGCAAGGCAGAGTCCATGGTGGGGCGAAGGCCACAGCGGGCAAACTCAGGGGGCCGAGCATGAGAGCGAAGGCAGCGGCAGGAAGAGTCAGGGGGCCGGTCCCGAGGGCGAGGACCGCGGCCGGGAAAGTCAGGGGGCCGGACTCGAGGGCGAAGACCGCGGCTCTCAGGGGGCCGGGCTCGAGGGCGAAGACCAGACAGCTCCGGAGGCCGGGCAGGAAGGCGCTGACGGGACAGTGGGACAGGCTTCGGCAGGATCCCCCACGGAAGAGGACCAGGAGTTGGCAGGACCCCCGGCGAGATAGGTGACGGCGGGTCCTCCAACGGAACAGGACATAGGGTTGGCAGGACCTCCGGCCAAAGAGTAGTCGGTGGGACCCCCAACGGCACAGGACACAGGATTGGCAGGACCCCCGGCAGAAGAGTAGTCGGCGGGGTCCCCAGCAGAACCTCCAACGGCACAGGACATAGGGTTGGCAGGACCCCCGGCAGAAGAGTAGTCGGCGGGGTCCCCAGCAGAACCTCCAACGGCACAGGACATAGGGTTGGCAGGACCCCCGGCAGAAGAGTAGTCGGCGGGACCCCCAACGGGACAGGACATAGGGTTGGCAGGACCCCCGGCAGGAGAGTAGTCGGCGGGACCTCCAACGGCACAGGACATAGGGTTGGCAGGACCCCCGGCAGAAGAGTAGTCGGCGGGACCCCCAACGGGACTGGACATGGAGCTGGCAGCACCCCCAGCGGAACCTCCAACGGCACAGGACATAGGGTTGGCAGAACCCCCGGCAGAAAAGTAGTCGATGGGACCCCCAACGGGACAGGACATAGGGTTGGCAGGACCCCCAGCGGAACCTCCAACGGCACAGGACATAGGGTTGGCAGGACCCCCGGCAGAAGAGTAGTCGACGGGATCCCCAACGGGACAGGACATAGGGTTGGCAGGACCCCCAGCGGAACCTCCAACGGCACAGGACATAGGGTTGGCAGGACCCCCGGCAGAAGAGTAGTTGGCGGGACCTCCAACAGCACAGGACATAGGATTGGCAGGACCTCCAGCGGAACCTCCAACGGCACGGACATAGGATTGGCAGGACCCCCGGCAGGAGAGTTGTCGGCGGGACCTCCAACAGCACAGGACATAGAGTTGGCAGGACCCCCGGCAGAGGAGTAGTCGGCGGGGCCTCCAACGGGACAGGACATGGAGTTGGCAGGACACCCAGCAGAACCTCCAACGGACCAGGACATTAGGTAGGGACTTGAGACGTGACTCGAGAGGGGACTTGAGAGGAGACTCGAGAGGAGACTCGAGAGGGGAACTAGAGAAGGGACCTGAGAGGAGACTCGAGAGGGGACTCGAGGAGGGACCTCGAGAGGTGACTAGAAAGGGGACTCGAGAGGTGACTTGAGAGGGAACTCGAGAGGTGACTTGAGAGGGGACCTGAGAGGAGACTCGAGAGGGGAACCAAAGGCGAACTAGAGAGGGGACCCGAGGAGGGACTAGAGAAGGGAACTCGAGAGGTGACTAGAAAGGGGACTCGAGAGGGGACTCGAGAAGAAACTGGAGAGGGAACTGGAGAGGGAACTCGAGATGGGACTAGAGGTGGGACTAGAGAAGTGACTAGAGAAGGGAATTGAGTAGGGACTAGAGAAGGGACTAGAGGAGGGACTAGGGAAGGGACCAGAGGGGGGACTAGAGAAGTGACTAGTGGAGGGACTGGAGATGGGACTTGAGAAGGGACTAGGGAAGTGACTAGAGGAGTGACTCGAGTGGGGACTCGAGAGTGGACTCGAGAGGTAACTTGAAAGGAGGCTTGAGAGGGAACTCGAGAGGTGACTTGAGAGGGACTCAAGGGGGGACTTGAGAGGGGACTCGAGAGGTGACTTGAAAGGAGACTCGAGAGGGAACTCGAGAGGGAGCTGGAGATGTGGCTTGAGGGAACTTGAGAGGAGACTTGAGACGATCGGTTCGCACGGGGGGCTGGAGTTGGCCGGAATGCCGACAGGGCATGGGGGAGCTGGCGTCGGCCGGAGACGAGGGGCTGGAGTCGAAACCATGGCTGCTGGGGCCAGGACTGAGGCTGGAACCATGGCTGCTGGGGCCAGAACTGGGGCCGGAACCATGGCTGCTGGGGCCGGAACCATGGCTGCTGGGGCCGGAACCATGGCTGCTGGGGCCAGAACTGGGGCCGGAACCATGGCTGCTGGGGCCGGAACCATGGCTACTGGGGCCGGAACCATGGGTGCTGGGGCCAGAACTGGGGCCGGAACCATGGTTGCTGGGGCCAGAACTGGGGCTGGAACCATGGCTGCTGGGGCCTGTACTGGAGCCCAAAGCATGGCTTCTGTGGCTAGGGCTGCTAGCCTGGACCTGTGACTCCTTCTCTTAGGAGCCTTTTGGAGGCTCCGTGGACCTCCAAAAGCCAGATGAGTTCCAGAGTACGGCTCTTGGACAGGAGCAGGAACTGGGGCAGAAGCAAGGGTTGACTCCAGACGGAACACACCGATGCGTGTGGTGTCATAATGGGAATTGGGAGGCAGGGAGCCAGCATGGCTGGGGCTAGCAGGCAGGGGATAACACACCGAGAGGAAATCGAAAATCCAGCCAGGTAAGAATTTCACCAGGACTGGCTTCTCCGTAGCCATCTGGCGCGCCTCTGCCAGAGCTGCCTCTCGCTGGACGCTCCCCTCCATTGATCAGAGCAGTTAGCCAAAAAAAAGGAATCCAATAATTCCTGCTCAAAAGGATCTGCTGGGCCCATATTTGGTTGGTTCGTACTGTTACGGTGAGTGAAGCAAGCAGGACCCAAATGCAGATAACGCTGAAAAAAGCCTTTATTTCAAGGATAAAAAATAAATAACTTGGACAAAACAGAACTCTCACCGGTGAACTCATTCACAAACAAAAGACGAACCAACACTGAACACAGGACGAGACAAGACTAAATACAGGGAGGGGTAATCACAAGACGAGAAACAGCCGGGCAGGGGAGGAGAAACACAAGGGCCACAGGTGAACACAATCAGACAATTAGACACACCAGGGAAACTAACAACAGGGGGAAAACACAGGAAGAAGGACCAGACAATATACAAGGAAGACAACACCCAAAACAAGACATACAAAACGTGACATAACACAATAATCGTAACAATAAAGAGGTACAGTACAGCGCTGCACCATCAGTGTCTGATTTATTAAAAACAACAACATTGTAACTGAGAAACACTTAAATGCTACATTTCAAATGTTTACAATCCATCACTAAATTCATGGCAAACCCATTTTAACATCATGCAATAACACTAAGACGACATTAGTTGCATTGAACTGATCTTTTTTATAAGTTGTACTTACAATGTAGTGAGAAACATGTGGTTGTGCTTCACTGAGGATCTTTGTCATGCTGACAGGGAGGCAAACTGCAGTTATTACACTTCGCGTTTTGAAATATGTGTAACTCTGTTAATATAAAACCCACACTGCTCAAACTTTGTTACTTTTCCTAAAATTGGTATATCTATTTATTTTGGGGCGTGGGGAATGAAGAGAAACAAATATATGAGCATTTTATGAGCATGGGATTTTTTTATTTTTTTAAAGAATTGTTTTATTGCAGAAATGTATTGTACCAACCGCATTGGTATAACAAAGCAATCATATTTTCCATTTTCAGTAACAACAAAACAGCGGATTCAGAACATACTATTACAATTAGGCAGTTGGCGGTTTTAAAACACATCCATGGGCGAGATAACAAGAAATGCAATATTCATGCTAGAAACAAGAGGGCAGTCCAGGACAAAGAAAAAATGTCCATAGGAAATTGAAGAAAAAAAACCAACAAGATAAAAGTTACAGGATTAACATTATTGATCATTCATCCCACACCTTCATCCTCACCCAGTCCTCTTAAGTGTCTCATCACTGGAGCCCAGGCCTTATCAAACACTCTCCCCCTTCCTGCATTCTTGAATCTAAGTTTCTCCAGGTAGAGGATC